TCTTTTATTCGACAGACAGCGTCACGTGTTATTTCGTGAGTGAGTATGGTTTTGCGCCGCTCATAGTAATATTCCGGTAATATCACGGCGGGGAGCACCAGAAATAGAAAATGTTATTTATATCGACATTGTAATTATGTGCACAAAATGTGTCATTTGTGTCAGCGGTTCCAATACAGTTCATTTTTGTCCCAAAACACACGACGTGTTGCAATCCAGACTGACACATGACTCGCCTGTGGAAACAACAACTTGTCACCGACTGTCGTCCTAATCGACTCCACACGATAAGCACGATGTGCACAGACAGAGGTGGCCGCACATCCGGTCTACAGCCCTCATATTGGACTGATAAAGTCTGTTTCGAAATGTTTGTATCGGAAGTGCTACACCTGTAACCTTGCAAAATCCGTTATCCCTGAGACGTTATGTTTGAACGATTTTGTTTTAAATTTCCTCACAACAGACAGGGGTAAACAAATACCATTGCCCGACGCCCGTGCCAAGTACGATTTAGAAAGTCAAGCGAGTAATATACATTGTACAATGTCTAGCATGTCCGTGGACGGGTAAGATGTGATAAGTAAATTGGGTTTAACGTCTCGTTTTTCTTAAAGAAAAGTAAATGAATGATCAGAATCCCCTCCGCCTTCATCTTTAGCGTGCCCCCGCAGAAAACCCTAAGATTGGTGCAACATGATCCGAAGTACGTTAAAAGTTGGTGATGTAATTGTAGATATCCCGACCATGTGCGCTAATAAGCAAAGAGAGGCTACTCTATAATTCAATAGCTCACTATGTTTTTGAGTAAAGTGTACACACAAGCATAATGCGTACACCTCTTTGGGATGCAGTATTTTTGGGGGAGGGGGGGATTATTTTTACAAGTATTATGCGCTGTACAAAAAACCTACATCATATCCCTTTAGGGAATTCAGGTGAACGAACAGGTGATAACAAACTTGATCGATACAAATGTGAAATTTGCGATTAAATATTAATAGATGTTGGATTTACCATTTAAATTGTATTTACCATTCTGTTGGGCATTGTTTTATATGCAAGCATTAAGATTACCGAGTGTATTTTCATGTAAACTAAACCGAAAATTGCAATCAGCTGTACATATTTTCTCCTAAATCTTCCGTGATTCAATTAAAATATACCTGATGGCGTAACTTAAAAGAAGTTAGATGCAAAGATAGGAAGAAACTGTATCTGAGACTGTTATTTTATCAGGGATTCCAATATCGTGTTATTTAATAGTTGAAGCTGTTACGATCGTGAAAACGTTGTGTTGACAACAAATATGACTTTTAACGAGTCACAATATGGCATTTATGATATATGTACCCATTCTCTGTCAACTAACCTTTGTTTCAAGACGTCAACAGCTTTAATCTGATCGTGGTTACTATAAATAACGTTGAGCTGGCAGTAGATCTACTTCACGTTACAAACAAGCCTGGTTCTCGTTGTTGACCCGTCAGACCTCGACGTGTATTAATCTGATTGGTTTACTAGTGTATTTGTATGCAAATTATTGCCTATCTGGGGCACTAGCAAACTATTTGCCAATCAAATATCGTAACAACACATGATTACATTCTCGTAAAACTTGTTCCAGTTTATTTAATGTGCCATGTTTGATTCCAAATGAGCCATGAAGCTTTGACTTGTAATACAGTGAGTGAGTGAGTGAGTGTGGTTTTACGCCGCTTTTAGCAATATTCCAGCAATATCACGGCGGGGGACACCAGAAATGGGCTTCACACATTGTACCCATGTCGGGAATCGAACCCGGGTCTTCGGCGTGACGAGCCAACGCTTTAACCACTAGGCTACCCGACTGCCCCTCTTGCAATACAGCTATGTCACTATACGACAACTAGTTGTAGAGGGAACAAATAAGACAAATTACAGAAATCCATGGAGGTGAATCTCAGTTCTGAAACAGAACAGTATTACTGATTTTTTTGTAGCTTGATATCGGTCATGTAAATTTGAAAAAGGGCAAGTTGTTGTTTTTGTAGTTTGTTGTTTAACGCAGCACTCAGCAATATTCCAGCTATATGACGGAGGACTGTAAATAATCGAGTCTGCTTACATTAACTAGTACTACATTCCTGACAACTAATCATTGTCCAAATACAATACAAGGAACTTCTATTAAAGCTCAGAAAAACAGAAAAAAAATGTAATACAGTTACAATCATTGTTTAACAATAAAATACACTGCCATATAACAATACGTGTGTGTGAAGAACAGTGACATGTAGTTAGAACTATTCGAAATTTCTTGCATTTATAAAGAGATAAATATGGTTCAACATACATAGACAGTTCTATATGCTACATAATCTATATACTTTTTCATTGTTGTAATTTTCACCACCATAATGTCTGTTACAACCAGAGGATTCTGTTTCAAGACTGATTAGTCTTTGGTGTGCACGTTTTATAATATATATTTGGTACTATTAAAGATTTACCCCAATTTTGTATATATATATCCTTCAGTTTCTGTGTTTGTGACATGACACATTATGGGGGGGGGGGGGGGGTTGGTAGGATTCTACATATTGATCATTCGACATATAGCTATATCCAACCTTAAACAATAAAACATTGTGTTACGTCTGTTACCCAATTTCTGTTTCCATGTCTGTCATTAATTAGCATCATATTATAACCATTTCTTGGAAAATCTATTGATGGTATACCTAACAGTCTCAACCAATACGTAAGAACCTAAGTGCACTATTGTATAATTATATACAGGACATCTAATCTAACCCATTCGCCATGTACCATGATATTGGTTTTATTAATATTTATACAAAGGCATTTCTTGCATGCAAATCGATTTACTATTTTATCTACATCAAAATTGTATAGTATTTTTGTAATGCAAAAATGCATTCCCAAAACCTCATAAAAATTGTAACAAATTCAACATTTAGAAGGGCGGTTATTTTAGTTATAGTATCGATTCTGTCATTGCCTTTTAATAAATCAACAGAGACAGAACACATTAAGGGGGAGAAACGGAGCAGGAAGCTAATCAATAAATAATGACTAACCGGTCAGTAGGTCTCGGGTATAGAGAGGTATAGAATAGGTCTTCAGCAACCCATGCTTGCCGTAAAAGGCGACTACGGCGGTCTGTAAATAATCGAGTCTGGACCAGACAATCCAGTGATTGACAACATGAGCATCGATCCACGCAATTGGGATACGATGACATGCATCAACCAAGTCAGCGAGCCTGACCACCCGACCCCTTATAGTCGCCTCTTACGACAAGCATATCCACCTTTTACGGCAAGCATGGGTAGCTGAAGACCTATTCTACCCCGGATCTTCACGGGTTACACTTGGGATGTGTTAATACTTGTATGTGTGCGCTAGTACATGCCTGTATATATTGGTAATGAGTACCGGTCGACGGACTCTCACGCCTCTCCGAGTTGCAGAGTTCTGACTTAAACTGACCATGGCGACACGGAACGGCAATACATTTAGGAAACTGTTGTACGGTCCCGTGGCATCCCGCAGTTATAATGGTATTGCTGAACCTCTTTTGACATCAAATATATTGAAATAGGATGTGTACCAATGTCACCAAGAATATCTAACGATCTAATAAAACACCCTGAACAACCAAACCCTTCTACATAAACAATAGTTACATTATTCCGAATATCTGCATGAATGACAAAGGCCTATCAAAGAATATCTACATGAAGATGACTTGTGGTCGCTTCCCACGAAATGCACGTATAATTGTTGCCGGAACCTGCCACTGAAACAGGGTGCGTTCTTCCGCATATTTCACATCCTTGTGTTTTATTTTCACGAATACGCGCTTTCTCGTCTTTCTGCCTAACATAAATATGATAATTTTATGATCAAGAGTTTGGGAGGTATTTGAGAAGCTCGTCTTTAGTGAAATATGAGTTATGAGAATGTCCTAAACCACCTACCTCTCATATTCTCACACAACAGTGATACAAGGATTTTTTCTATCTCTGAACATTTTATGCTATTTGTACAGAGAGGACAAGACATCTGACTGTTAACATATTATATTATCAAGTTAATGCACCCTGACCAAGCTCACAAGTTCACATGTATTCCAACTGTGACATTTTCCATGAAACCTTTGGTTATAACCTTACAAGGATGATGAGGGCAATTACTCGCTAAAATATTGTTAATATTTTCCTGATCGAAAATTCAATAGGGCAGTCATATTGACAAAAACCTGTTTTGGGTTAATATTTAGCCATTTTTAGTTCAAAATGTACTGAAATGTGCACACACAATGCCATTTAGAAAGTGGTCAAATGTAACGAATTGTTATATTTGGGACAACACTTTCTTTGTAGAGATTCCAGTACTTGATTGGGTTAAGATCCTCCACAACAAAAGTGATGAAAAGGATAACAAAGCAAAAAGGTACATTTCAATATTTATTGTTTAGTATGTAGAAACAGTATGTCATTATTATCATTAGTCGACATTGATGAATTGAGACAGGGAAATAAAACTGTCCAAGGAGGAACACTGCAGTGGGTGGTTAAGTGCATTGTGACAATGGCAAGTTACCACATGACCAGATCATACAATGATGTTGTGGATGATTGAACTGTTCAATAATTCAAAACAACAAATGCAACGTCTACACAGGAGTAAAACTTCAAGAGAACAACTGCACCTCAGACCACAGGGCCACCCAGCGGAGTGAGTGAGTGTGCAAATAAACAGCAGTAAGAACACAGTCACACTGTCTGGGTGTGATCACACACAAGGTCAGCCAGCCTAGAATTGAGACTTGGTTCTAATGTCACAGTGGTTCTAGTTAGTAAATTACATTGGTTGTTGGTTTGTTTGTTGTTTTACACTGCACTCAGCAATATTCCAGCTATATGATGGTGGTCTGTAAATAATTGAGAATGGACCAGACAATCCAGTGATTGACATCATGAGCATCGATCCATGCAATTGGGATCAATGACATGCATCAACCAAGTCAGCGAGCCTGACCACCCGATCCCGTTAGTCGCCTTTTACGGCAAGCATGGGTTGCTGAAGACCTATTCTACCCTGGATCTTCATGGGCCAAGTAAATTAGGATGACCATGGACAGGAACACTCGCTGGTGTTTGTCATATGACATGTATATTTGCTGCTTACATGTAGGTACATTTTATTTGTTGCTATCCCTTGTTCACAATGTAGCAATGACTTGAATACAGTATCCATCATCATTCTTTAAGAACCAATTCAACAATAAATAGGAGTGGCAGGTGCTGGTGACACCAACAATGAGGTATTGAACTTGGATTGGTCCATCAGCTGTTTAGATTATATTTAGACCACCACTGACTTCATTAAATATTGAAGAATATTTTTTTAATTCTATTCTTATACACATTTCATCAATATGCAGCTGAATACAGTGCCACAATGGGTAATATTTGTATGTTATGGCGATGTGTTTGAGGATTATCTCATTGAAAGATGACTTGCTCAATGAATATTATTACATATTAAAAGCAATGTGATCATAATCATTGCATTAAATCATAAAACAAACATGACCAATAAAAAGGTCAAATTTCTCACTTGAGATAAAATAATGAAATATCATTAACAGCATTTAACACCACATGTTGCGTATTGTTAATTACACATTTATATTGTTATATACTAAGTATGTTCACCACTTGGGGCAGCAAACAAACACATGTTTTAGAAGTCAACTCAATGGCTCAAATACTATCTGGAGTCCAGCATACATTTACTGACATCTATTTTTGAAGAGCTTGCATTGAGATGGGGAGGGGGTATTTGTAGGCATGGAAACAGACATCCTACTTATGAGAATGAACAGTTCGCATCACTACTAGTGCATCTGTCTGCAAATGGAACTCTCATTTCAACACTTGTAAATTTTAACTTCTTCATTGATAATACTGTAATTTCCTCTTATTATAAACAGAAATTTCACATGAACACTCGTCTGATATTGATATAAAATAGCGACAGCTAAAACAGTTAAAGACCACCCGATTCTTTCATATTTCTATATAAGCATTACTTTTTGTTAGTGGTATAGTTTGTAAATATTATCCATATCTACAGGATTAGTGAGTGAGTTTGGTTTATGTCAATTTGAACAGCATACAAATTATGTCACATGTCCGCTTATATAGGAGAGAAGCCCAAAGTGACCTATAAAAGCCACTTACTCGTTAAATGTAACCTCCAAACACAGGTATGGCTCTGACAGGTTAAGAATCATAACAATGTTGGAATCCCAGATCAGCAGATCCTGGTTACCTTGGGGTGACCTTGACCTCTGGACCACCAATGCCACACCCTCCTGTATTAACATACATGCTTACAGTGAGTGAGTGAGTGAGTATGGTTTTAGCAATATTCCAGCAATATCACGGCGGGGGACACCAGAAATAGGCTTCACACATTGTACCCATGTCGGGAATCGAACCCGGGTCTTCGGCATGACGAGCCAACGCTTAAACCACTAGGCTACCCGACCGCCCTCATGCTTACAGACACACAACAAAGCTCCTGATCTAGCGAAGACACTTCACTACAATGTTCTATTTAATGCTTATATCCACCAAGCCATTGTGGACCTTATTGTATGTACATATATACATGTATGTAGTATTAGGCAAGACAGCAAGAACATTTTGTTGGAAAAACACTCTATGCCATTTACATTTCATTGCATCATCACATCACCTGTAATTGGTTATGGTATCAATGTATAACGATATATCCATGGTTTATAGAACACACATGGAGGGTGTGAATGGAAGGTGTACACAAGGGAGATAACTGATGGGGTACATAGAACACATGGCTGGAGTAACATAAGGTGATGAACACGCAACAACCAGCAGGTCAGTGACAGCCTGGCTGGACTGAAAGACCACAACAATGACCGTGCCCAAGGGATGCAACTCTGCACAGCTTACATATTTTGGTTATTTGGTTAGTTGTATTACGCCGGACTCAGCAATATTCCAGCTATATGATGGCGGCCTATAATGATTGAGTCTGGACCAGACAATCCAGTGATTAATATCATAAGCATAGATCCTCGCAATTGGGATCAATGACATGCATCAACCAAGTCAGCGAGCCTGATCACCCGATCCCGTTAGTCGCCTTTTACGGCAAGCATGGGTTGCTGAAGACCTATTCTACCCCAGAATCTTCACGGGTCGCGACTGCTGGCCCCTAGCCAAAAATACAACTCAATATGAACAGAGACCATACACCGATATGGTCTCTGATATGAATGTGACCCCCCACCCCAGTGAAATTACTAGTATATATAGAGTAAATGGCTTGTGTTTGAATGACATTATTATGTACTTGTTACAAGTGCTGCTCAAAAAACAGTGATGTGGAAAATATATAGTTGTTTATTTTTATGTCCAAGGTTTATGTTTTTATGGTATTTCTGCTGTCCAAAATGTGAAGCCTGTGTTATTGTTGATAGTCATTTTGAGATACAATTGCAAGGTTTAATCAATGCAAGCGAAGACCACTCGCATTTTTCGCATTTAATTCACGCTCAAGAATTTCATTTAAGTTCAAGATTCACAGTATACCTTCAAACAAACACACTGGCGTAGCTGACATTATAAACTTACACAACAGCGAATGAGGGACACAGGTCCTAACACAACAAAATATAATTACGCTCAGGTGTTTTGTGCACAGGCATAACACATTTACCTACAGGACGATACATACATACAAACAGGTACATCATGGACAGGTATCACATATACAGACATCTGGACACATAAATACACCTAGGTGTATTGAGCACATGTGTACTCACACGTTCACACATGTTGATACAGAAACACACAGGTGATACAACCCTGTTGCCATTTTTTCTGGTTATAACTTTGAAGGAAATATCCACAGTGCATAGCCATGATAGCTGCTATGCCTTGACTGATATCACCTTGTACATTTGTACTTTGTACACCAAGCCTTGTACATAAACACAACAGTCAGGCAGTCTACGGTGACAGGATAGCTGATCTATAGCTTTGTACATATGGTGCCTTGTACTAAAGTCCTTCAGTCTTGAGATTGTAACTGTGTCACATGACTTGTCACATGACACCAGTTTCCCGTTCAAAATGTCAGATCTTGAAGCATGTTCTGAATCTCGTCAAATGCTGCATCAATTTCACTTGTTGATTTCTTGGCGGGACCTGGAACAAAGACACATTGTGTTACATCTCAGCTGATAAACCACATATCACTGAACTGACCTCGCTTCTGATACCACATGCTACTGAATTGACCTCTGATAGTATCACATGTATTACTGAATTGAGCTCTCATGATTTCAATGGAGAACTAAACTTTTCTGCTGATATGCCACATTTTACTGGGCCGACCTCTAATGATATCCCATGTATAACTGAACTGACCTCGGCTGATATTCCATGTATTACTGGACTGACCTCTGATGATATCACATGTATAACTGGACTGACCTCTGATGATATCATATGTATAACTGGACTGACCTCGGCTGATATCCAACATATTACTGGACTGACCTCTGATGATATCACATGTATAACTCTGGACTGACCTCGGCTGATATCCCATGTATAACTGGGCTGACCTCTGATGATATCACATGTATAACTGGACTGACCTCGGCTGATACCCCATGTATAACTGGGCTGACCTCTGATGATATCACATGTATAACTGGACTGACCTCGGCTGATATCCAACATATTACAGGACAGATCTCTGATGATATCCCATGTATAACTGAACTGACCTCAGCTGATATTCCACGTATTACTGGACTGACCTCGGCTGATATCACATGTATTACTGGACTGACCTCGGCTGATATCACATGTATAACTGGACTGACCTCTGATGATATCACATGTATAACTGGACTGACCTCGGCTGATATCCAACATATTACTGGACTGACCTCTGATGATATCACATGTATAACTGGACTGACCTCGGCTGATATCCCATGTATAACTGGGCTGACCTCTGATGATATCACATGTATAACTGGACTGACCTCGGCTGATATCACATGTATAACTGGACTGACCTCAGCTGATATCCCACATATTACTGGACTGACCTCTGATGATATCACATGTATAACTGGACTGACCTTGGCTGATATCCCATGTATAAATGGGCTGATCTCTCTGATATCACATGTTACTGGACTGACCTCTCTGGTACATAACAAGTGATGTAAGACTCCAAGACAACTTACGGACTTCAATGACTTCCGGAGCTTCCACAAACAGTTCTGGGTTGGCCAGGCTGCGAACTTTGATGCCAAAACTTCCAGCTGAAAATAGTGAGTGAGTTGGGTTTAAAGCCACTGTGTACAGCATGTCAGTCATAGCATGCGACCAGTTGGGGGAAAACAACACCAGCTGTAGATGTTTACCATGGCGATGAAAACCAGTCATGAACTACTCACCAAGTCAGACCACTTTGTATTGTTTAACATAGGTCTTGTCAATATGCCTTAATGTCACAGGGCAATACCAAAAAACGAAAAAACAAAATTATTCATTGATTTGTTAGCTAAATTCCTCTTGCTAGTACACATAACATAGGCGGATCCAGAGGGGAGATCCAGGGGGTCCGGACCCCCTCTTTTGAAAACCAAATGAAGTATGTTGTAGGCAGTAAAAATGACAGAGAGGATTTTGATATTTTGGACCCCTCTCTTTTACAAATGCTGGATCCGCCCTTAAAACACAATGACAAATGAATTCTCAAGAAGACATACATAACTTTCCATTACCCGCCAACAATGCCAACAGTTTGCAGTACCTGTTTTGAATGAGATGCCCGAGAAGATGGCGATGGATGCTTCATCGTTGTCGCTAGGAATGAGTCTGACACGGGTGTTTCCCGCCAGCCTGCCGCCGTCCACATACGCCTCCACCATCTGGCAGACATCGGGGTCGGACTGCACGCTGAAGTCGGGCAGCTCTTCCTCTGCTCTTGTCAGCGTGATCGGCACTCGGAGCCAGTCAAGGGTGGACAGAGGGAATTCTGGGAGAAAAATGTGAGCGAGTAAGTTGATTGTCGACTTTGAACATGTTGGCTGATGATGAGGAAGTAGGATGTAGATTTTTATCTCTTTGGTTAGGCTTAAGAAAATTAAAGAATTGGTTCTCAGGCAATGGCTTTTGAAAATATAGTGCAGGCAGGCAGTGTTTTGTTTTTTTTATTTTGGGGAGGGGGGTTGCAACTAGTATGTAACCAAAGAAACAGTTGTGTACAATCTACCTGGCAAAGGGCCTCCCTACATTAATGTATTCCTTGATGAATAAAATACTGTAATACAGTAGGACTTGGAATATGTAAGGATTTAAAAAAAAAAATTGGGCAAACTTTATGATGATGTGGGCGGTGCCTGAGATCCAAAACTATTATTTTTGTTAGCCTTACAACAACAAACATATGTATGTTGCTGATAAACTGTGTATTAACCAGGATCAGGGGAAATACAGGATTCAGATCTATAAACAGAAGATCTGGATGGGATGTTTTCCGCAGCTTTTTCTATTGTTTCAGTCCTGCCCCACACTGAAGCACATGCAGCACATGTAGTGTCACCATAGAGTGAGTGAGTGAGTGAGTGAGTGAGTTGGGTTTAACGCCGCTTTTAACAGTATTCCAGTTATATCGTGGCATGTCAGCTTAATGTGGGAGGAAAGCCCCAAGTGATGCAGGTCTCAGACGTTTATCACTTCGGTGAAACCCACGAGCACGGGTATGGTGATGACAAACCTAGAAACATAATCGGGGCGAACCGGGATTCGAACCCACAATCATAGGTTTCTGGCGTGCCCAAGAGACGCAACTCTGCACAGCGAATCGCGGCGCCTTAGACGACCGGGCCACCCGTGTCACAATAGACAAGTGACTTTGTTGGAAACATGCCTCTGTTCACCCAGAAGTGAATCGGTAGCTGGCAGGATGAGACGGTAAAATGACTGTCAACATTCTAGTGTTGCACAGACAGCTTGTGTTGCATGCTCCCCATGGAGCTGAGAATGAATATTGAGTGCACACTGAATCATTGACTTGAGTCATAATGGTTTCTACCGGCATGAGTACACTCTTGCCCTGGGAAGACGTCAACACTATACACAGTGTCACTGATCAAACAGCCAGACAATCACAGCTGAACACAGCAAACAAATAAGCCAGATGCAGCGAATCATATATCTATAATAATTCTCCCTCACTCTGGTTTAGGTAAATACATATATTTAGTGCATAAACCTGACAAAAAGAGCTTGGACAACATGTAGCTCATGCATGAATTTGATGGGTTCTGATTCAGATGATACCTATAAATCATGTTACCATGGTTACTCACCATTTTCTCTCAAATTCTGAAGCGTTTTAAGTAATTCTGTTGTATCTTCGGACCCACAGATCTGAAAAACAGTTACAGCAAATGTAACAATCATTGCAATAGTTTCACTCGACAGCCTTGCCATACAAACATCTGGAACGCAGAGCCACAAGGTTCTGAATCTCACCTGAATAGTGGCATATAAATAGCATTGTCAAAATTCAAAATATGCCACACATGTACCTTATGTTATTCTAGATATCTATAGTTACTACATATTTCATAATGATAAAGGCAAAAAAACGTTGAGAAATGTGCAGAAATGATAATTTTAATATGTTTTCCATGGTAACTAATAAATAATGAGAATTCTTTGGCAGTTTGTTAGAGAGGCCATTGCTGGGACCCTCTTTCAGGATGCGAAAACTGTGACCTATGTTGTATTTTCACCAAAAATTGAATACAGCCACAGTGTTCACAGATTTAACAGGTTTTTTTAAAGAATATTGTGGATCATATGAACAATGCCAACTAACCTTTTTAATTGCATCATCCTCCATCTTCAGTAGCCTCAGGTATGTGTTGGCTTCCTGGCAGTATGAACACGCAATGCCATTTAGAAAGTGGTCAAATGTAACAAATGTAATGTTCGGGATAACACTTTCTGAGTAAAGTACAGATTCTCATGTTTTTTTGGGTTGAGTCCCGTCCGGGATTCGAACCCACACTGCCAGGGTGAGGCACCTAATCGCCAGCACACAAAGTCAGTGATCTAACCCACTCAGCCACTGAAGCTTCCACAAAAATGAAAGTCTGACAACTGGTAGTCTAGATTACGTACTTTGTGTACTCCTCTGACAAGTGTAAATTGGCATGACTCTCATGGCCAAAAGCTTTGTTACATTCCTGGAAGTATATACTAGACAACATGTGACTTCAGAAAAACAATTCTTTTAAAAAATCCTATGGGCCCTTGGAGGTATCATAAAACAGTAAAAATAATGGATGCAAAAATATTAGAGAAGCAGTGAGTGGAATGTTGGAATATTAGTCAACACTGGGTGTCAAAAAAGGAAGATTTCAGGAAAGAAATACCAAAGCATGTAATTGACCAAATGAAACTTTGGTTTGACTGCTGAATTGACTTCAAAAAGTCGACTTTCCACCCTTGCCAAACTAGGCTGGAATTTCTGGGCTCAATCATATCACCATTAGTGGCTGTAACGTGTTATGATCCTCCTATTGACCAATCAGATTCCATCTCTCATATCACTTGCATTTGCTTAAAAAAAATGGGACGCCCATTCAAGACGATCTGATCGATAATAAAAATCTATATTGTGATAAAATGGTTCTCATCAAATCACTTCAGCACCTTGATTAAAAGCATGAAAAGTTTTGGAAAATGCCTGTTTACGCAGAATTGGCGGTACACATGCTTTGCAAATCCTGCAATCGACCAAAATCTACATGGCAGTTTACAAACCGGATGTTGATTTCATTCCGTGATTTTGATTCGACTATGCAACGACTCGCTAGTCAAGCCAAAATATAACTCCATAATTCCAGCCTAGTTCGGCACTGGTGGAAACTGGTCTTTCATTGTCAGTTAACTCTCTTGCCTTGGGAAGATAAACTGGTTATTGCAAATATAGAAAGTGTTGTTTGAGTTGAATGACAAAGGCCTTAACTTTCTTAATAGTATGCTGTCAGTAGACTAGGATTTTACACTATAAGTTGTAGCAGGATCACTCAGGGTACATGGGATTTTATGCGTCCCGTGTAAGGTTTTATACCACAAACCGGAGGCGGGGCACATGGTATAAAACCTAACGAGGGACGCATAAAACCCCATGTATCCCGAGTGATCCTGCTACAAAGAATTTATCTTACCGACGTGTTTAAATATGACATTGTAAAATAATTCAAATAAATTCAAAATTGATAGAAAACAGCTGCTCGATTGAGCTGAGGTTAGCTTGCGCTATGTCATGTGACATCCATTGACTCGGAAAAAGCGTGCGGCTTATTGCTTTGAAGCAGGGTAGAAAGGATTTATTCTGTCTCTCAGAAATGCACGTGCAGCCTGTAGCGCTCTTGGCGGGAGATTTATTCCCCCGCTGAGAAAAATTTTACCCTCCAATGCGGGGTTACACAGTGTTTTATCAAGATCACGTGGACCAATCAGATCTCATCATTCTGACATGGAGGTGTGATAAAATGTCATATTGCTTAAATGGAACATCTGTGACATTTATGTCTTGGGGCCAACATCTCACACTATCACAGAGCAGACAAGGATGTACCTGGCAGATGATGTTGTCTTTGTTGTCGACGATGTTGCTGCTGTCCAAGATGGAGCTCACCTTCCCCTCCACGCCGTGTAGCTGGGCCCCCTGGAAGCAGATGCAGCTGCCGCCGTGGTTGTTGCGGATGTAGAGGCGAAGGTACTGACACGTCACCTCGAAACCCTTAAATGTCTGGGGTGCCCCTGAAACAGTGAGTGAGTGAGTGAGTGAGTGAGTGAGTGAGTGAGTGAGTTATGGGAGGGTGTATGTTTGTTTGACTGTCCAGATTAGAGTGATTGAGTGGAAGGGTGAGTGAGGTGGTGGGTGATTTTGAGTGGAAGGGTGAGTGAGTGAGTGAGTGAGTGAGTGAGTGAGTGAGTGAGTGAGTGAGTGAGTGAGTGAGTGAGTGAGTTATGGGAAGGTGTATGTTTGTTTGACTGTCCAGATGAGAGTGATTCTGTGAAGAGTGAGTGAGCTGGTGGGTGAGTGAGTTGTTGGGTTTTTGAGAGGTTGAGTGAGTGAGTGGATTATGTGATTTGGGTGGTTCAGTGAGCACCTGCGTGGTTGGGGGGCTGATGGGACGGCTGTGTAATTTGGGCCAGGTGATTTGGTGAGTAATCGATATGACAAGAGGCTGGAAGGAAACAAAGTAAACACTCACCAGGTTCTTTTGGGTCTGTGCTGCCCTCCAGTTGGCACACTCCGGACAGACAGGTGCTCCAGGGACCCCTGGTGAAACATAGCGCAGATCAGTACAACCACCTGGCACACACACACATCAGCTCACAAACACATCAGCTCACACACACACACACACACACACACACACACACACACACACACACACACACACACACACACACACACACATCACCTGACACACACACACATCACCTGACACACACACACATCACCTGACACACACATCAGCTCACACACACCCACATACACCCACACCCACATACACACACACATCAGCTCACACACACACACACCAGCTCACACACACATCACCTGACACACACACACACACACACATCACCTGACACACACACACACCAGCTCACACACACATCACCTGACACACACACACACCAGCTCACCACCTGGCACACACACATCAGCTTACACACATCACCTGACACACACCCCAACACCCACACACATCAGCTCACACACATCTCCTGACACACACCCACATCACCTGGCGCACACACACACATCACCTGACACACACGCACACATCACCTGACATACACACATGCACCAGCTCATACACACATCAGCTCACACACACATCACCAGATACACACACACACACAAATCAGCTCACACACACCAGCTCACACACACACACACACACACACATCACCTGACACACACACACACATCACCAGATACACACACACACACACACACACACACACACACACACATACACATGAAGCTCATACACACATCGGCTGACACACACACACACACACAAATCACCTCACACACACCTGAGATCCATTGACCCACAGCACAGATCAGTATAACCACCTGACCAACACCCACATCCACACCCACGCACCCGCACACACACCCACCCCCACACCCCCACACACGCCCACGCACCCACCCCCACCCCCACACACCCACACGCCCACGCCCCCACACCCACACCCCCACACCCACACCCACACCCACACCCACACACCCACACCCACACCCACACCCACACCCACACCCACACCCACACACCCACACACCCCATAATGGTGTATATAGAAAGATGTGTGTTTTTGTCACAGGCAATGTTCACAAAGGCTTTCATCTACTACATCCGCATCAATGGAGGCACACATCAAGTGTCTCTATCTTAGTCCTCACCATCTACTTCAGTATCTACTCCTATCAACCTACTTCACGTTATCCGATTTCTGCAGTTCAAAATTCTTCACCATCTGAGTACTGTGCCTGTAACACATAAGTTGACAATGTCGAAAACTTGGAACTATAATCCAGTTTCACAAAGTAATGACGACATCTGTCTTAATGGTCAATTTCACTCCAATATGGATATATCAGTAATCTTTTACAGTTGAAATGACAAAATTCTTTGAAATGGAGTAGTCTCAATCAATGAAAGTTTAAGAGCAAACTAAAGCCACAGGTAGGCAATTTGCACCAACTCCTTGACTGGGCAAGAGTTTTCTCCCCTGCGGCTAACAATGGATTGACAAAGCAGGTGCCCTCACCAGCCATACAGCGTGATGCCCGTGATGGTGTGGTCCTGCTGTAGATCAAACACTGTCCAGGCGTGGTGAAGACTTGGGATCACCCAGAATGTAAACGGGTTATCTGAAAGGCGATCATAAAGTGACATGGAGGGCACAGATCTTGGGGGTATTTGCTAATTTTACACGACAAAGTTTTGTTAATTCACGAAATCGAAATAGCACATTTGACTCATTAGCAGAGCATCTTGATTCAATTTGTGTTCTGCAGGACAGTGTTTTCACAACTGTCCTTAGTCCTCAGTTGCATGATCATGATGGTACTGACATCACATGTTCCTGATGAGTGAGTGAGTGAGTGGTATAACTCTTCTTGTACAGTATCTCAAACCCTCCTCTCTACTGCCATAACCATGCTTACAGTGCACTGACACAATATGTAATTAATCGAATCAAGACTGGATAATCCAGTGATTGATATTATGAAGAACTATCCACACCGTCCGCGTGCGTTGACACACTATCAACCAAGTCAGCGAGCCTGACCACCGGATCCCGTTAAAAGTCTCTTACGACAAGCATGGGTTGCTGAGGACCTATTCTAACTGGAACATTACGAGTTTATTCAAATCAAGGCCAGATAATTGGGTGATTGATAGCATGAGCAACTGTCCACTCCGTTGTGGTGCGTTGACAAACCATCAACCAAGTCAACGAGCCTGAGCACCCAATCCACTAAGTCAACTCTTACGACAAGCATGGGTTGCTGAAAACCTCTTCTAACTGGAGCTTCATGGGTTTATTCAAATCAAGACCAGATACTCCGGTTATTGACAGTATGAGCAACTATTCACTCCATCGGGGTGAGTTGACACGCTATTAACCACTATCCACTAAGTCAACTCTTATGACCCCCATGGGTTGCTGAAGACCTATTCTAACATGGAAACCCAACTGGGGGATATAATGTGCTCTACAAAATATACCGTATTCGACATAATAAGCGCCCAGGGCGCACTCAAAATTAGAAATAGGAGACTCTTATTGGAATATTATTTTGGTGAAAAGTGTTGAAAGATAAATTTCGTGGTTTATGCTGACAGTCTGAAATGATTTTATACGACAGATATATATTTCCAGAATTTAATTGCCCATAATTAAGGGTGCATGTAAAACACGAGTGCGTATTATACGCGAATAAATAAGTCTCAAGTACATTGATCAATCAGAAGGGGTTCTAATTGGGATTGTTCACTAGCCAATATATAAGCAAATATTGCTGTGGGCACTTATTAGAGCAGGGAGCTTATTATGTTGAATACGGCACCTACTATCAAACACATAGGATACAATGTGTCCTGATTATGTACATACCATCAAGCACATGGGCGTTTGTGTTTTTCTCTGTACACGTGCTGCAAAATTCTGGAATATTCTTGGTCCATTTGCTGTTGCTCGGCAGTAAAGGATAATCTAGGATGAAGGTGGAAATAGTGATTGACTGGAGACAAAACCTTTCTGATTCAACTGTGAGCATAAACACAATAGAATCTACAATACATCATGTCTATAGATACACCTTACATGTGCTGTCTAGGCACAGTCCCCAGGTTCCACATGTATGAGTGATTGTAGCGCTAAGATGATCGTAACTCCTATACTTTAACATGGACTTACGACAGGTTTGTTGTTTTGTACAATGTCACCCAGTGGACAGAAAGTCAGGAGTCCCACTGGATATTTCAGAAACTACAAAGCAGGGGTCCAATCCACAAAATGATCGTAGCGCTAAGATGATCATAACTCCTATACTTTAACATAGACTTACGACAGTTGTAGCACTACGATAGCTTTGTGGAATCTGGCCCAGGGCCACATTCCATAACGCAAAGAGTGAGTGAGTGAGTGTGTTGGGTTAAGTCGCTTTTAACAGTATTCCAGTTATATCGCGGCGTGTCAGCTTAATGTGGGAGGAAAGCCCGAAGTGACACAGGTCTGAGACGTCTACCACTTCGGTGAAACCCACGAGCACGGGTATGGTGCTGACAAACCTAGAAACATTATCGGGGCGAACCGAGATTCAAACCCACAATCATAGGTTTCTGGCGTGCCAAAGGGACGCAACTCTGCACAGCGAATTGCGGCGCCTTAGACGACTGGGCCACCTGTGTCCCCATAACGCTAAGATAGCAGTACAGATGTTATAACTCTATGTGGAGGTATGGCTGTGTGCAGATTGTGTTGTGGAGTGAAGCCCGGTGCTGAAGAAGAATCAATGGACACACAGGACATTTTCTAGACAGTAAGTTTTCACACCTTCGTTAAGCAAATATTCCATCAATTTCTGTTCTTCATTCTGATAAAGACTTACACTTAAAGGAGACACACATTTTATATTTCGACAAGCAAGTCACACAACTTCCTGTATATAATCACTGGCCCTGATTAATTGATTTTGGCCTTTATTTTCACCAGAGTTGTGAGTCCACATGAGTGAGTGAGTGAGTGAGTATGGTTTTACGCTGCTTTTAACAATATTCCATCTATATCACGGCAGGGGACACCAGAAATGGGCTTCACACACTGCACCCATGTCGGGAATGGAACCCGGGTCTTGTATGACGAGTAAACGCTTTAACCACTAGGCTACCCGACCCCCCTGTGAGTCCACGTGGATGGTGAGGGTAGTGTACCACATAACGCCGTCTATAAAGGGGCCCAACCTTTTAGCCGACCCCCCTGTACACACATTCAAAATCCACATATATTTTCCATATGACATGATATGAACCCTGGTAAAATTAGGCTTGGACCGGTAATTCACATGACTGTCCGTCCCTGTGGACCTTATAAGTCTTTGGTGTTGAACAAAACCTTGGCGATAATCAATAAAGTTTATCTTTCTAGCAAAGTCTGCTTGTCTTTTTTTATCAGGGTTTCCAGGATCACTGGATACTGGCATGACTAAGGGATGCAACTCTGCTCACACATTGTGGTACCTTCAATGACTGAGTTACCTGTGCCCAGTGTCTGATATAACTGCCTGCCTGCCAGCCCATGGCTGGTAACTTTTTGGTCGGGCTGAGGGACATTTCCCTCCACAAGCCTGACTGTCTAGCAGATAATTTTAAGACTACTTACTTATTCAAATTTATCATAACTCCTCGTAGATTCTAAAGTGATTGTTTTGCATTATTTCAACTGACTCAAGATGCGATTTGTCTCTTAATTTAGCGATTCATCAATATTTATAACATCTGAATGCGGGTAGGTAATTTTGAAGATGGGCAGGCAACATCTATGGGTCACCTGCCCCATGCATCAACCAAGTCAGCAAGCCTGACAACCCGATCCTGTTAGTCCCGTTACGGTTGTCATGAGTTGCTAAAGACCAACTCTAACCTGGATCTTAACAAATGTCAAAGTATGTGAGAATGCTAGTATTTAGACACACTGTATTTGATGTAATAAGCGCCCAGGGCGCTCTCAAAATTAGAAGTAGGGGGCTCCTACTAGAATATAATTTTGGTGAAAAAAAAAACAGACTTGAAAGATCATACATTTCTACATTTGTGTACCTGAAATGATACAAAAGAAAAGTATGTGCATATTATACACAACAAATATATTTTTCCAGAATTTAATTACCCATAATTAAGGGTGCATATAAAACATGAGTGTGTATTATACATGAATAAATAAGTCTTGTGTACATTGATCATTCGGAAGAGGTGCTAATTGGGATTGTTCACTAGCCAATATAATTATTAGCAAATATCACCGTGGGCGTTTATTAGAACGGGGCGCTTATAACGTCGAACATGGTATGTTTATTCCAGTCCATGTTGTATAGTAACTCCCACCTTTTGAGATTTCTGTGTTAGTTTTCTCATTGCCATTTTCTCCATAAAACCTTGGTAGTCTGGGCAGTGACTTCTTGTACTCTGCAACAAATGCAATAGAATGGTTTAGATCAAATATCTCCATCACCTGCGAGCACATTGGACTGATCTGTAGTGTGATGGTTTCATATGGACGTATACATGACAACATCTTGGTATACACATGATATCTAGACCTACACATGATTTCATATGGATCTACACATGACTTCATATAGACTACCCATGATTTCATATAGACCTACCCATGATTTCATATAGACCTACACATGATTTCATATGGACCTTCGCATGACATCTTGATCTACACATGATTTCATATGGACCTACACATGATTTCATATAGACTACACATGATTTCATATAGACTACCCATGATTTCATATAGACCTACACATGATTTCATATAGACCTACACATGATTTCATATGGACCTTCGCATGACATCTTGATCTACACATGATTTCATATAGACCTACACATGATTTCATATGGATCTACACATGATTTCATATGGACCTACACATGATTTCATATAGACCTACACATGATTTCATATGGATCTACACATGATTTCATATGGACCTACACATGTTTTCATATGGACCTACACATGATTTCATATGGACCTCCGCATGACATCTTGATCTACACATGATTTCATGTGGACCTACACATGATTTCATACAGACTACACATGATTTCATATGGACCTACAAATGATTTCATATGGACTACACATGATTTCATATGGACCTACATATGACTTCATATGGACCTACACATGACAACATCTCAATCAACACATGACATCTAGACCAACATATCTTCCATTAGAGAAGTACACTAATGTTAATATAACCATGCAGGATGAGAATGAAGGCAAAATGGACAACAAAGGCAGTGAAAGAGAAACAAAATGAAAATAATCAACTGAAAATACAGAAAGATAGTGTGTCAGTTGGCAGGAATGTCAATCAACTTAGTCAGCGTACAAATAATTTTTTCATAATATTTACAGGTATAATATCATATATCCAGATTTTAGATACCTGTAGAAAGATATCAATTTTATAAAAATATGTTTGTATTACAAAGATGTCTTTGCCTACCTTCAAACAAATCTAGAAATTTATCACACATTGCTTTGGGTAGCTCACGGACGATACTTTCTGGGGTCTGTCAAACAATTAGACAACAAGCACACATAAAGTAAAATACACAACTCAAAATACGTAAAATAAACAGCATGCAAAGCGCATTAAAACAAACAAAAACAAAGAATGTGAGCAAATCTATTGTTAATCTTGTTGACTCATCTTGTCTTGGTCGGTAATTCAATAATGGAGTTATCACAGCATCACTATTGCCAAATATACTACTCAGCATTTGACAGGGATATTCTGAGTGGCAGGTTGTGGGGTCAGACATGCAACAGTGTAAACATAACAGCAAGACGACAGGCTCTGTACTTCATGTAGGAGTGGTATTTCAAGGTGTAAGATTAGAGTTTAATAGATACCGACAAACATATTCTTAAAATAGATACTGATTTATTCAAAAAGATTCGCAGAAATGACAGTGACCCAGCAACAGGGGTCATCATGACCCGCACATTCAGGAGATTGGGCAACCCCTGGCAACCATAGAACTGAGATAACATTAACATGAGTGAGAGTTATAGTGAACATGCTCTCAGTTGGCACTTACAGATTGTACCCCCCCTCTCCCCATTCATTTTATGCAGCATTTTTTCATCCTTCAACCAAGAATACATGTACAGTTTTACATGTCCACCCCCCCCCCCCACCCCCCATTAAATAACCAATCCCAATGTTCATAATTCTCGCGAATCCTCTACCTCTATTACATCTTTGCCATAAATCCTGTATTGTTCAATATTTATAAAGCCTTTTTTGAAAAAATAACCCAGAGGACTGTGTCATCACTTCTCTCCCACCCATATAGTCATGCACCAAAATATCGGTGACACACCCTCTTTCACGGTGTCATTTTGTCATGAGCCCCCTTTATCACTCCCACCCAACCTCACCCCATTTAATAAATGACCAGCCCCTTTGTGAAATAAACTTCTATGTCATGAAAAGTTTCAGTCCATACACATAAGAGTTCATATTTGGATATGGATTTATACCGGTCATTTTAACAAAAAAATAACTGTCAGAGCACACCTTATCAGGTCTTGCACCTTAAAAACATACTTCGGGACAGTGTGAAGATCTTGCACCTGAAAAGATCACTTGTTGACAATGTCAAGACTATGGTTACATGACCATTTAATAAGGACATTAATAATAAACCACTCTTTCATTTTTCATGAAACACCCTACTTATCTTTTGAAAAATATATCACCTAATTTCCTTATTCACCTTGCAATTAATGCAAGTAATTAACACCTGTAGACTGTGACTCCAGCTGCTCACGACAGGTAACACTCCCACCTACCTCCCTGTTGGTGTTCTGTAGAGCTGTAGATGCACCGAATGCAAGTAACACCTTCACTGCTTCAAATCTGTGGTCAAACAGAGAAGTTACATTGTGACGTGCTGTAGCTCACCTGAATATATTAGTTTCCTTGTAGCCTTATCTAAAATCCAAAAGTAGATTATAATAAAACCATTACATAATTGGAAATTAGAATATGTCTGGAAATTACTTCAAAATGGCGGCATATCCAGGATTCAAAACAAAGTGCCTCTGGCAGGCAAATAGAAAAGTAAACATTATCTTGCATAAAATGGGGATTTTGTATGTTATTTTCTTAAATTCAGTGAGTGAGGGTGAGTGAGTTGGGTTTTACAGCCGCTTTTAGCAGTATTCTAGCAATATCACGGCGGGGGACACCACAAATGGGCTTCACACATTGTACCCATGAGGGCAATAGAACCCTGGTCTTCAGCGTGACGAGCAACACTTTAACCTCTAGACAACTTCACCCCCCCTTGAAATTCAGAGGTAGGCCTATTTCAACATTGTATTTTGAGATTGCATTATATGCAGTGAGCTAAGCATTAATACCTCTTCCTATATATTGGCCCTGTTATCAGTGAAATACATGGTATCCCTACAAAGCCATAAAATTAGTGATGTATTACATTAATAGTGATTAATTAGCACAGTTGATGCAGACTCGGGGCAAAATATTGGCCTCTGAGCAGGTCTAGATAAATTTCCTGACATATTAAACAGGAACTAAACATGACCCATACTATTTCTCCAAAATACAACAAATAGAACAGACAGTTTCAGTGAAATAATTTAAGCCTGTCCATACGATTAAAAGGAGAAATGTCTGTAGAAGCTAGTCTTGGCAACTGGGATGGAGAAATATATTTACCTGAGAAACCTGACAGCCTCATGGAGAGGTGCTGTACACTTGATGACATCAATGCCGTTCGGACTTATCCCATAATCCAACAGTAGCTCCACAATTTCTTTTGTTCCTCTGGTCGCCGCCTCCACGATGGCCATGGAGTTGAGCCGGAGGCGTGGGTCGTGGTCCAGGAGGAGTGACACGGCATCTGTGAAAGACACATCCTTTACTCACAGATCACGGAGAGGACACAACTGGGAAAGTCTGACAACTGGTAGTCTAGATCATGTACTATGGGCTGGGACGAGTCCAAATTTACTACCTGGGTACCCACGCCCCTATTATCCCACCCTACCCAGGTACCCACCGTAGGTCTCAGGAGATTGGGAACATTTTTAGCATAGCCCTGGCAAAACATATTTCGATATTTGTATTAAACAATCTGGTCATTCAAACACTGAAGCTCAATTAAGTTATATCTTTATTCAACCATATGAAAAATCAGAAGGAATGGATGCATAGTCAGAAAGAAATGCGAACATTAGTGACTTGTAGTGTAACCATAGAGTTCTAGATAATTTTGGTCATTAAACAATACATCACGTGACTAACCACGGGTCCGGATAGTCCTGGGGTATCCGGGTCCTACTCAGTACCCACCCCACCCGGGTATCCGAGTTACCCATCCCAGCCCTATCATGTACCCATTTACACTTGTCAGAGGGGTACACAAAGTACATGATCTAGACTACCAGTTGTCAGACTTTCATTTTTGTGGTTATCTCGGTGGCTGAGTGGGTTAGATCGCTGACTTTGTGTGCTGGCGATTAGGTGCCTCACTCTGGCAGTGTGGGTTCAGTCCCATGTTCCATGTGATGTAGACTTGTAATTTAAACATAACATTTTTTTATCTTTAAGAGTGTCTATATTACTAGGAGGTAACATGATAAATATAAAAAAAATTATGTTTAATTTATTTCCTGGACTGGCTGCCTTTCAGTAGGGGCAGTGGGCCAGTGAAACGGAAAACAAACAATGTGTGGCTTTATCTGCCGCTTATCACAGCACATCATAAATTATACCTCTCATCACTTGGTTGTAGTCACTCTTGCCTGATAACAGTGTAAGAACCTACATCAAAATGTCACTAAATGCAATAAACAAGAATTTGTTATCTACAAAGTAGTATGTTTTCTTGGCATGTGAGTTGGATTATTAACATTTGAGTGACGTGAGTCAACTGACGTTACGTCATTTCGGGTAACCAAGGTTGACCACATTAGAAGTAACCAGTGTTAATCAAAGATACTTCAGGACAGAACCTGCAATAGAACATCTAAATCCAACCCAGAACATAATACCAAATGGCTTTCAGGGGGAGACACACTAAAGCCATATCATTTGTTGGTTTGTTTGTTGTTCAACACCGCATTCAGCAATATTCCAGCTATATGATGGCGGTCTGTAAATAATCGAGTCTGGACCAGACAATCCAGCAATTGATATCATGAGCATTTATCCACGCAATTGGGTTATGATGACATGCATCAATCAAACAAATCAGCGAGCCTGACCACCCGATCCCGTTAGTCACCTCTTACGACAAGCATGGTCGCCTTTGATGGCAAGCATGGGTTGCTGAAGACCTGTTTTAGCCCGGATCTTCACGGGGGGGACAAGCATGGGTTGTTGACGACCTATTCTACCCCGGATCTTCACGGGTCTAAAGCCGTATGAAATAATAGGATAACACAAAACTAGGACAGGTTATCAAGTGAACTTTTGCTGGATAAAACTGCCTTTGTATCTTTTCCATATTATGCATGTAACACAAGGAAGTTCAAAATAATGTGCAGAACACCAAATAGAAATGCCCAATCAACATGAAAGTTTCATCATGAAATCTTTAAGCATTAATATCAACACCCTGATGCAAATCAGATAACATGTATACCATATATGCCCAGTTAATTATATTCATTAAAATGCTTTTATTCATGTTTGAAACAATATAAAAAAATATTTAGATTGAGCGATGCTCCTCCGGTCTTCACAGTGGTGAAGCATATGCTAGGAAAGGAAAAAAGATATTTCCTTCAGGGATAAAAGTTTAATGACTTGTGAAGTGTCTCCTTCCAGAGGAGACAAATTAAGTTAAATTATTCAGTAAAAATGAAATCAATATCTAATGTCGCATGCACCTCATAATGAAACAGGATTTTTCCTGTTACCATGGCAACATGTGTCAGTACAGGATGCTAAGGAACATCAAGCACAATAGCGTGTCCTTCCTTTTCACATGTTTATTATTATCTGTGTGAATTTTTCTCCATCCATACCTACGAGGAACAAAATCATTGCTTTCACTTCCACATCAATAACAAACCTTTTTTATTGAACATTGCAGCAGCATCCAACGGTCCGATGCCTTTTTTGTTTCGCTTGTCACTGTCTGCCCCGCCCTGAGAATACAGGAAGATTATAATCAAAACTTGTGATAAAGTTATATTGTTAGTATGTTTCTTGTTTGTTAGCACGAGGTCTTCCATTAACTGCCCGAGGAAGGAGGGCAGTTGAAAAGACCCGAGGGCTTCTGCAAATGATAATGCCCTGAAAAAGAGCGTTACCGTTATAACAGCTAAAATGGATGGAATTTGTTATCAAATAAAAAGAAACAACAATATCGGTTTTGAAAAATTTACTGCAATCAACACGAATGTCACTGACCCACTTTTACAAATATGGAAATGTCATAGAACAAACCAGATGATGTCACTATTGAACGTGACGTCACCTATCCCTATCCTATGACGTCACCTAACAGCGTGTGTGATAATGGCCAGTCGTCAAGCAATATGAGGGCATTATCAAGTTGCAGTGGCCCGATGATTTCTGATAACATGAGGGCGGTTTAATGATAATTCTATCAATTTTAGCTATAATACTGTAATACGGCCTCAGTCTGTAAACAAGTGGTTGATATCATGAACAATGTCCCACGCTACTGGGTACGATAACATTCAAGTCATCAAGTCCTCCGAATTGCCCCTTACAGAAAACAACATTTTACTGGTGAGTGGTGATTTATTTCAACTCGAATCCACACAGGACTTAAATATAGAGATCACTGTATTTATTCCACAGCTGTGTAGATTATATAGAAATTATTTCATTTGTGAAATGATCACACCAATCTTGTACAACTCAAATGTGTAAGGGATTAAACATCCTGGCGATCCATGAAGATCCGGGGTAGAATAGATCTTCAGCAACCCATGCTTTCCTAAAAGGAAGCTATGCTTGCCGTAAGAGGCAATTTACAGGATTGCATGGTCAGACTCACTCACTTGGTTGATGCATGTCATCGTATTAAAATTGCATGGATTGATGCTCATGATGTCAATTACTGGATTGTCTGGTCCAGACTCGATTATTTACAGACCGCCATCATATAGGTTGAATATTGCTGAGTGCGGCATTAAAAAAACAAACAAACAAACAAGCAAACAAACATCCTGGCAGTATTTTCTCTACTCAAATACGAAGTCCACACACACTCACGTGAAGCTCTCCATATATGTAGTATTTAATTGGCTGACATGATGATCAAAAACGAAGAAACAGGCCCTTAGCTTCTATATTGTTTAGAAATTGGTCCATTCTAATTAAGGAAAATGCCTCTTGAAGTCTGAGGGGGAACTTCCTTCAATACAAGGCAACCTCAATACACTGCCAATGTACACTTCGGAGAGATGGGTCACTACAGTCAGTCTCTCCCTCAACAGCTGACTTGATGTATAGAAGACACCTTGGATTAACATTTATCATGGAAGGGTGGGACAGACACATTTTATCCAAGTGTACCAAAAGATTTCTCGATGTATATTTCACAATTACTTCATATTTAACCAAAAAATAATCTCCATGTTTTTTTTACCCACATCAGAAATTTTTTTTTGCAAATATATGTAGCTGTAAAAAAATTATACTGTACAGTACATTATCAAGTATAGACATCCTCGATTATCAAATGTAGTATATCTCCATTCCATTATATCAGTGATTTTGACACGAAAAGCTGTATATAGGTCAATGACTTGTAATAAATCATTGGCAAAAGTCAAAAAGTCAAATATATAAAAGCAACAAAACCCTTTTCATATTCAATAGAAATCTTTGCTAAAAGCAGAGTCGATTGTACGACTGTGACTATATCATGAGCATGTGTTATACAAAACTCTGTTTGGACAGCCTTTAATCAGAACCATAATGGCCACTAAACCTTCATGTCCATATACCTTCACTGAACAAGAGTTGTTTTTTCATTTTTTCCCAGCAGTCTAGTCCCCCATAAAAAATGTATTTCATCTTCAACTTTCACCCTAATGATTGGATCTAGACTAACATCTAGTCTCTGAAATGAACATATCGTACATAAAAAAACAGTTGTTCAGTTATCTTAATAAAAATATAATAAAAAGGAGCCCAGTGACTCTCTTCCTGATACTGCAGTGATCTAGACTTGCCAAACATTATAGACTTGCATGAGCTGTATTTGATATATATTTGTATCAGGGTCTGTAAGACAGACTAGATTGGATCCTGTGTGGCAGGCAACAGCCTGTTTGCGGACAACCATAACAACAAATCAATACAATACCATTTGTGATTGGATAAATATATATAACCTGGCCAATAGACCTTGCAATAAGAAAATGCTTTCTAAGTCACCATAGCTCCTGACAATGATACAGAAAGTTATGATGCAACGACGCACACTGCTCAGAACTTCAGTTATGATTTTTTATGGCAATGCACATTGTTTTATTAAATCAATACCGTAAGTAGGACTAATCCTCACTATTAACTTTTTATTCCTGAAATTATGAAACGTGTGATAATAAAGTCCTACCACTTAAACAAGCCATGTCAAACTGAAATTTTAGCGATGTATGGCTGGATATATACCCTGGGCGCATTCACCACCATAGTAGTGTTATCAGCCTGACCCAATTGACACAATGCTAAACTAAGCTGTCTAATCTTATTACACTGTTTTTTTTCAAAATTTGCAACAAGTGGTGACATTTTAGTACTCAATTCGCCTTGCTGCATACCATTTTATATACAGCTGGGAACATCTTACAGCATAAGGACATCCCTCCACCTGTCTTATACTCAGGATAACAGTCATATTTTTTAGCTTAACGTTCTTCAATAACAAGTCTCCTGATTCATCTACAATGAGAGCTAGCTCATACATGGCTGCGACATTGAATGTTCCAACCTTTGCAGAACTTGTATTCAGAAGAGGCATCATAAATTTGGTTTCAAAAGTCATGAAAGAGGGAATTTCAGTGATAGGTCAGTGATAGGTCAGTGATGGGTCAGTGATACAAAGGATGGAGATGGTGACTGCTGAAACAAAGGATCACGGGTTCAGGGTATGTGTCATACTAGAATGGTGATATGATACCCTTGATAATCGAGGATGGAATATCAAGTTTTTTATAATATTCTCATGTCACGGTACATAATGAGTCCAAGTTTAAATGGTGTGGGAGTTATGGTATGTCAAAAGCAAGGAACAGTCAGTGGAATTAGCCTTATCAGTTAGCCTAAATCTCAAGTACATAACACATGTGACAAAAATCCCAAAACTTCATGTTTGTGTTCTTAACCTACAGTTGTGACTTCTATGTAGCTATACTGGGCCAGCTATCAGCTGATGTACTTGTCTTCCTAGTTACCATGCCGTACAGACCACCATCATATAGCTGTAATATTACTTATTGCTACCGCTAAACAAAGATCTGGGGACATCCCATTAAACAGGTCATGTGAGAATGACGTTTTGCGAATTTTGACCGACTAATGAAATGTCTAACGAGAAATCAACATTAGCCAATCAGAAAAAAGCTGTTTTGACATTTAAGGCACTAGTTTTTTCAATAACAGATTACGCTTTTAAAATAATTTGGACTAAGTTCTCCATTCAAAATTTATAAAACTGAACAAAAGACAATTCTGGAATGTCTAAGATATGGAAGCGAGAGATCTATGATAATTTTGACGGATTCAGTCGTAGAGTCCTTAACTGTCGTTAGGAATACCCAGTGTTAAGCTCCTTGAATTTGCATGATAAGAAACACATTCTGACTGTCACTTTCCGAATCTGGTTAGCGACATGAAATGTCATTCTTGCATAACCTGTTATGGGATGTCCTCAGATCTTTGTCTACTGATAGCAAGAACTAAGATCTGATTTTAATGAGGTTGGACAAGTTAGATATTTTCAGGAGTGCCACACCCACTTAATCAGATAAACACCTTAGGCCATTTTTATTTTATTTTTAGGATTACAGATTTTTCAGCCCCAAGTCCAGGGTTGGAGGAGGGAAAAAAGGGAAAAAAAAGAAGCCAGATGCATTTTTTTTAATGCAGAATGCCTCTGGCATACTTTATGAACATATTCTGTGCTCAAAAGACCACCATTTGTGACGATAAAGCACCTTGTAACAATGAAATTTCAACTACTTACAACACGGACAATTGTCAAGGGAGGCTATTCATGTTCAAAAATCGATTATGTATCTCTTTACTAGTTAACAACGGTAAATTCATATGTTTTTTTATTAAAAGGTGATGATAACAAATAAAATAACTGACTACGTGGCTATCGGCGGGAAAAAAAAATGGAAATCTGATTTTTTTTTTCACGTTTTTAAAAAATTTAGAGTCGGCGGGTCCGTAATCCGAAAAATATAAAAAGCCTGGCCAAAATGACAAGTGTGAGTGAGATGGGTTTAATGCCGCTTTTAACAGCATTCCAGTTATATCACTGCATGATGTGGGAGGGATCTATCTATCTATCTATCTATCTATCTATCTATTGATCTATTGATCTATCTATCTATCTATCTCTATCTCTCTCTCTCTCTCTCTCTATATATATATATATATACAATAACATCTGTATCATAATACTGAAAGAATGAAACATGGTTATGTCACAGAACAGCAATGTAAACAGAAATATTTTTTGTCCATTTTCTGAGTGTGAAACTTTAACAAATAATGACTATCAGGTCAAAACTGAAAAATACTGAGACACTGAAGCCAACTGCCCTGTCACAATACAGCCACCAACGATCCGTAACAAATACTTTAAAGCACAATAGAGGTGTGTAGAGTGTGTTTCAGGGTACACGTTATCTCTACCCCTCTCCATGCACCGCCCCCCAAGTGAATCACTTCCTGGTTCTTGACTGGCCCCATTACCGGACTAACCTGACTCCATCAAAGAAGATTTGTGATTGAGATTATTTACTACGCCAAGTGTGCTTTTGTGTTGTAATATTACACGTTAGGAATAGAAATTGTATCATGACAGCTCTCAGAAAGTTTAATACATCTTTTTATATTCTTAATATATGATCTTACTAAACAAAAGAAATAATCTCTAAATACTTCAACATCATTCTGGGGCGGTCGGGTAGCCTAGTGGTTAAAGCATTCGCTCGTCACGCCCAAGACCCAGGTTCGATTCCCGACATGGGTACAATGTGTGAAGCCCATTTCTGGTGTCCCCCGCCGTGATATTGCTGGAATATTGCTAAAAGCGGCGTAAAACCATACTCACTCACTCACTCAACATCATTCTTAAAATAATCAAAGGTTACCACATATCGTCATTCACTTAAGTAACTTTAGAAGCCTAGAGTAACACAATGTCTGACCTGCCCTACTTTTGATATCGTGCTAAATGATCTACATCCATGTTTGTTTACATCTGCACTCACACATCAGGAAAATCCTGTCTTAACTTTGTGGGGATGTTAGGAAGTAGTTTTTTAAGCATGGCATCACGTGTACAGAGCCTACTCAAAGTAGTTTCTGATTGGTGACCTGGATTGCATATCTATTGGGCTGTTATCCAAAGTTTATTGCACTATTGATAACACGAGCCATATGTGATAAAATGTTTCATAAATCTGGAGTTGGAACCAGGAAGTATGAAACTAACACTTATGCTAGTAACAACAATAACTGTCAATGGCAGAACTCCAGATAACTTTTTGAGCAATTGAGTTTTTACTCTAGGGTTTCTATTTTAATTGGGTTATTACATTTTTCATTGGGTAACCAATATTTTTTCACTCATCTATTCATCACTCTATTGGGTTTTTCCCAAAATTAGTGAACATTTTAAGATTTAAAAAAAAATGAAATAATGTTTTAGATGCAGATAACTGTTCTAAATATATAGGCTTGACTCGGAAAGTAGATCAGCTCGTAACTGTCTTTCGGAAATTAGCTCCTTTGTATTCGCACTGAAAAAGCATCATTGGGTATTTACACATGCTGTTTTTATACATTTGAGTTTTTGATTACATGCATGCGTTTCTGTATGCAAGTTAATTGAAAGTAACTGGGTTTTTAATATTTTTGGGGGGTATTTTACGCAAATATGCTGCTTATCTGTAGCTCTGCAATGGTTAAGATATCCAAAATAGATATGTCTACAGTACAAGTGACTCAAAGATAGGTCTACAACAGTCACCTATTTGGGTCCATGGTGTTTGCAAAAAGGTATTGGGCAGCATTCTTTGATGTATGGGGTTGACATGCAATGGGGTTTAACGTCGTGTTCAGAGAATTGCACTTTCTGTGAAACAGTAACAACATACTAGATGCCAAAAACAACTTGTATATGCAGTGTTCGAAATACCTGCCTGCCCGGCCGTCTGAGACGGGTTGATTTCAACTCGGGCTGCCAGATTTTCAAATCCCCCTGCCTGATGGTCGGGTTATATTTCATATGTAAAAATATTCTAAATATTTCCCGATGATAAGAATTATTTACATGATGTATTCTAGGATATTAAATACAAATCTGACCTAAAAAGTGTTTGCTATTTCTTTTCTTGCATTACTTCATGTTCAATGAATTCGATTTAAAGTTTTAATTAAATTATCCTGAGAAACATATGATTATAGTGGGCAGGCAGGTTTTGGTCAGGGCTGGCAAGTATTTCAGCTAGCCAGTCCAGTGGTCTGGCTGAAAATTTTTTGGAGTTTCATACCCTGGTATATGGCACCTGAAACTTCCTAAAATCATATCTGAAACAGATTTACATTCCTTAATTTTTATCAAAAGTTGGTATAGCTGTAAATATGTACTGATTGGGTAGTTTGATTGTATGGCTACCTTTAGTATCGTGTCAATCGAGTCAGGCTAAAAATGTACCTATGGCAGTAATTTGGCATGGGGCATATACCACAAGGAAATGGAGACAAAATACACGATACTCGGGGGTGATGCTGGTACATCTGTAGAACCTTGTGTACTTACATTGAGGAGGCGGAGGATAATTGGCACGTTGTTTTCAGCATCACTCTGACAGGCAATATGGAGGGGGGTGTTGCCATCGTTGTTCTGACAATTCACCTAGAACAGGACAAACATCATACTAATCATCATACAAACTCCCTGCCACCTGGGCCTGTGTAACATAGTGACATAAGTGCTACGACTGTCGCAAGTCTATGTTAAGGTACGGGAGCTATGATGCTCTTATTGTTAAGTGACACCGAGTAATAATGAAGGAGAATGTTTAATATCAGTAGAAATAGAGAATCTCACCCTCATTTCTTTTGATATCTAATATATCAACGAGTGAGTTGGGTTTAAGGTTGAGTGAGTTGGGTTTAACTCCTATTGAACAGTAATGTCAGGTTGATGTGGGCCGAAATGATGCAGGTCTCGGACATTTACCACTTTGGTAAAACCCACCGGCCCTATGGGACTGATTAACCTAGAAACATAATCGGGTGAACAGAGATTCGAAACCCAAAATCATTGGTTCCTGGCATGTCCAAGGGAAGCAACTCTGCAATGTGAATTGCAACTCCATAGATGACTGACCCCCATTTTTAAAGAAGCAATAAACGTGATAGGGAGCTAGTGACATATTCTAACCAGTGGGTTCCTAAAGCCACCACATTGGTATATCAAAGCATGATAGGAACATCCCTGTCAAGAGTTGAGCAGTATAGAAACATGAAGTCTTTCCACCCTTGTCACCATGAAATATTAGTACATCTCACAGACAAAATATCTATTGTATAGGAACTCAAGAACGCTGCTTTATCAACAGGATGAATAAACAAAGATCTACATTTGCACACAATTAAATCACTTTTGTGAAATAATACAGTGACCAATCAACATATACAGGTATGTGAGAAAACATACTGAGCGTCAAGTGGTGATATGACCCAAAATAACAACATATTTCAAAAGGTCAAAAGGCATTAGTTTCCCATGACTGTAGCACTTTGTTTGACATTTCCCATTGGCATGATTGCAGCACATCAACACAACCCATTCCAGAGGTCAGAGGTCAGGTGAACTCACCGAGGCGCCATTCTGTAAAAACAACTCCACAAACTCTGTTTCCCCTGCGAAGACGGCCATATGTAGCGCTGTGTTGCTGGAACATAATAGACACATGTAGTAGAAGCACACCCCCAGCATGTGGAGTTCCCCTCAAGGGACATGGTAGAGGGGTGTGGACACACATTGTGCCCATGTGGGAGACTGGGTGGTGGAGGAGGACATGAGGCAACTGTTTGGCTTAACCACTGGCCACATGTACTTTCATACACACACAAGGAATGGCCGATGATTCACACATCACCTGTGTTCAATAATAAAAGCATACAACCATCCTTCATTCTTTAGGCCGGGGGATTTCCATGGACACCTTCGAAACACCATTGTTTTCCAGCTATATTCCAGCTATATGACAGCGCTCTGTAAATAATCTGGACCAGACAATCCAGTGATTGATATCATGAGCATTGATCCAATTGGGAAACCATGACATGCATCAACCAAGTCAGCGAGCTTGGCCACACCACGTTAGTCACCTCTTCTGACAATCATAGTTGCCCATTACGGCAAGCATGGGTTGCTCAAGACCTATTCTAACCCAGGGATTCATCGGTTGGAAACACCACTGAAATACTGTTGTAGTGCTGGTACCACTATCACAATTGTTTGTTTGTTTGTTTGTTTGTTTGATGATTAACGCTACTCACCAATATTACAGCTATATGACAGTGGCCTGTAAATAATTGTGTCTGGACCAGACAATACAGTAATTGACATAAGCACTGATCTAAATAAATAGGATACAATGCCATGCATCAACCATTGAGTGAGCCTGACCACCCAATCCCTTTAGTCGTCTATTAAAACAAGCAAGTGGTTGCTGTTGACCAATTCTAATATAAGATACAAGATACAAGATAATAACATACTTTCACTATGACAACATATCTGTTGCCAAGGAAACAATTTTTACTTACCCCTTTATGTCTCTGCCATCAACATCAGCGGAGTGAAAGATGAGCGTCTCGGCGATAGCCTTACACCCTGGAAACAACACAGAAATACTAACTTATTCTGTATTCAGGCTGTGACAGGGAAAGTGAGTGAGTGAGTGACTGAGGTTTTACGCCGCTTTTAGCAATATTCCAGCAATATCACGGCAGGGGACACCAGAAATGGGCTTCACACATTGTACCCATGTCAGGAATCAAACCCGGGTCTTTGGCGTGACGAGCGAACGCTTTACCCACTAGGCTACCCGACCGCCCCGTGACAGGGAAAGAGTTACAGACCAACAATGAGGTATTACGGACTGCTCTTTATCAGGGAATGAACATGATGAATGGGCCCGAATATCTCGCCAGGAAATAACATAATTCATTCACAACGCATTATCCATTATATTGCACATTAGGCCACACTTATTTCATTTAATGTTTCACGCATTTATTCCAGCTTTTCAACACAAGGTCGGTTGAAATAAAAATAAAAATAATTAACTATGTCAATCATTTATTTATTTATTAATATGAAAGTTATTCTGCCATGGTGTTAAACTGCTTGAATCACTGATAGTGATGTAGACATGGATTATATATATAACATTTTTTATTGTATAACAAAAAAAATATAAAATTTAAGTTTAAATTATTTCTTCTCCAGCTGCTTTTCAGTAGGGGTGGCAGGCCCATGAAACGAAAACTAAAAAATGTGTGGCCTTATCATTTTAAGAAAGAAAATGAGGGAAAAAGGAATGAAATGTCGATCCTACAGAGAACCATTACTGATGAAAAACTGGTGTTGTGATGGCATCATGTTGTCAGTGTGTGACATCATGAAGAATGGATGACATCACCTTGTATTGTTCTCAACAATTGGGCACTGTGATGTCATACAGCTTCAAAGGACCAATCAGCATCATGAATTGTTAAACATGCTAAAATGCAAATATTATGAAATTATCATACTCTATCTTTCTATGTGAGTGGCTAATATATAATGGAGATCTTGTATTTCATTTCTTGTCTGAACAGGTTTGATGTTTTAATCCTAAAACAATCAGACATGAATAATTCATGCAAACTCATAAACACTTCGTCTGTTTGTTGTTTAACGCCGCACTCAGCAATATTCCAACTATATGATGGTGGTCTGTAGATAATTAAGTCTGAACCAGACAATCCAATTGATAGACATCATGAGCATCGATCTTTGCAATTGGGATACGAGGACATACATCAACTAAGTCAGCGAGCCTGACCACCTGTTCCCGTTAGTCGCCTCTTCTGACAAGCATAGTTGCCTGTTACAGCAAGCATGGGTTACTGAAGACCTATTCTACCCCGGATCTTAACTGTGTTTATGAAGATAAGACAGTTGGAAATGTCCATCGACAGTCCAGTACATTTGTTTGACCACCCCATTCAACCAATATTATTATATGCCTCTGAAGTGGATCTTCACGAGTCCAAACCCATTAACAAATTATTTGGTTCTACATATATACTTATATACTGTATATTGACCTGATTAATTTTAAGGTATGGTTTTATATAATCACACTTGTTGGCAAAATATTTCACAATAAAAGTTCTATTTCTACTAGTAATCTAGATACAGATTTAACACAAGTTACAAGGTCACACTTCATAATTCAATGATTGTAGGCTCTGAAAATGATATATTATGGGTGTTCAACTAATGTGATCACAACTTAGGCATAACATACTGAAAATCATGAAATTATTGCGTGCACCTCCACCAATAGCCAAGAATGGGTCATGAAATAAACATGATTAGCCTGTTTTACATTTAATAACACAAATCTGCCCTTTTTGCATTTAATAACACAAATCTGCCTGTTTTACATTCAATAACACAAATCTGCCCTTTTTACATTAAATAACACAAATCTGCCTGTTTTACATTTAATAACACAAATCTGCAACTGATTGAGGGATGTTGCTTGCTCCCTTACACTCCTTACTTCTCCATCACTTTATTTAAACTTCACTTCACATTTGACCTACTGTTCCTTGAAACCAATAGCAGGAAATAACATATAGGGCATATTCAAATGATACATCAGGTCAATCAACGGAGATTGGAATGTTTCCGTGATATGAGTTGGCACTATCACTCGTACATGTTATGCATTCACACCAGGTCCTGGTGGTACATTTCCTAATATTGTGTATATATAACATTCATAGGAATAATCCTGAAAACAACACAATGCATCTTTTTTAAAACTAAAATAAAGTCTGTTGATTTTTACTTTGTTATTGTATCATGCATGTCATGCATAACAAGTTATTTGTGCATTCTTCTTTAAGGCTTTTATTGATGTTAATTCATCAACATTCACCTATTTGAATTAGATACAACTTAGGAATGGACATTTCGAAATGATTAAACTACATATTGCCATCAGGGACCATATGATATATGGTTTCTGTTGCCATTAAATGATAACATTATTTCATAATCTTTATCATAATGTCTGCTCATCTGTAATTAGATAAATTCAGATTCGAGAGTCAATAAGAAGGTGAGAGAGTACGTTTTCAATATCATACTTCCTCATAACATCATAGGCTACATTTGAAAAACACATATTTTGTTTCTCATACAACCCTGAACCAATCCTATAATCAGCCAGACCCTAAATACCTATCAACATGATCAAACACCTGAGTTTTTTACATATTTTTTCAAACTAAATCTGCTTCCAATTCTGTGTTTTTTTCCATTCTGAGTTGCACTTTTTGTTCCAACGAATCCCGACTACCAGGAATAAAATGGCAAAACAATTATCTCTTTTTATATCACTTCTTTCGTTTAGCCCAATTCTGAAATTGGTTTGAAGTGGTTGGGATATTAAAACAAGAAATATGTTAAAACATATCCCACCAAATCACATTATGATATAAAAAGAAATCATTTGAAGCAACGATTTTTAATGAAGCTTTGCAACAGAATATGTACATATATATTAGTAATTGAAGCAGTTACTGTTGTATCTACTTCCCCTTCTATTCACACACGCCACCCCATCCCCGATCCCCACCCCTCAGCACACCATCCTGATTGATGACTAGACTGCCACACAGGCCCTGCTCCCACAAACAACGTCCCCGGGCTGAAGTCAGTCAACCCTGACAATTAAACATGTCATCAATTACACCTGTCACAATCTTGGTCTTCAGCATCTTAAACCTAAGAATAGATATACATATTAAACTACAGAATATTGGACTTTAATCAAAGCATGTGGGACTTAAACGTTTCACATATGCTGTTCAGGAATCCTGAATGGTCAGGGCTGCAAGGGCAATGACATTATATATCAGGTTTCTTATAACCTGCTTCCAAAACGGTATCTTCGTGTTACCCCGACCTTTAGACATTTGGGGTCAAAATTAAGGTCGGCAAAATGCGAATAGTTGGGTTGTTCACTGGGGATTAAGAGAACAATGGGATTAGTGCGTGTGATTTCAACTTTTTATAGTAGGACTGAAGTCGGGTTCTGGTGAACACTTGTGAGAAGAAAATAATTGAACATCTCACATTTGAGAAGAAAATGATCGAACATCTCACATTTGAGAAGAAAATGATTGAACATCCCAGCTGATTAAGATATGAATTGTGTTCACGTGTCATATACATATGTATATATAATGGATCGAGTTCAAGATATCTTCACTTCTTTTCGTAATGGCCAATGCACAGATAGAGAAGAAGTTCATTCCAACTGCTCATGGTGTAAGATACTTATGTGTAGGTGGGTTCATGTACCGTTTAAATAAGAGAAAAGCAAATAACTTGATATCTTGGGTATGTTCTATAATAAACGACACAAAATCTATTATATGTTTCTACTGTTAGAATGTGTCCTGAACACCATTCAAAAACACCATTCAATGCGTGCTTGTAACAACCACCTGTGTTAACATAACACGCACGTATCATCAAAGAAAAACCGCTGGTCGGCGTAACGCGAATAATTTTTTTCTGAAAGTCGGCGTAACGCGAATGAACCTGCCAAAACAACCCACTCAATCAGCTGTGTTAAGCTTTGGGGGAGGTTTCAAGATGGCTGGTGTTTGTAGACAGATTAAGCTGAGACAGTCTGGGTCACGATCAGCTTGCAGAATATCAATCAATATGGGATATCAATGAATAGAAATAGAGAGATATCAAGGCAGTTGCACTTTGGAACAAAGAGAAAGTACTTACGTGTGAATGTTTGACATTTACTGTTGTGCATGTCAAGTGATCACATAGGTTTCCACTCAGCAATATTCCACCTATATGACGGCAGTCTGTAAATAATCAAGTCTGGACCAGACTAATGATTAATATCATGAGCATCGATACACGCAATTGGGATTGATGACATGCATCAACCAAGTCAGAGAGCCTGACCACCCGATCCCGTTAGTCACCTTTTACAGCAAGCATGGGTTGCTGAAGACCTATTCTACCCCAGATCTTTGCGGTTTCCACGTACATCAAGAGCGTTTGAACTTTCTTCAGGGGCTACCATTTTAGGAGTTGAGAATGAAATTTTTATTCATTGAAAACCTGGTCATGTTGGAAGATGCTATCTATATTTGGTATACATAGATGTGAAACAACCTGAATATTGCTGTGTAATGAATGGCGTCAACAGGGTCAGTCGAGTGTCCTCATATCCTGGATGGTACGAGCACTCCTATGAACTCTGACATAGTTAAACCCCAAATGAGGCAAGTAAGCATTTGATTTTCAGGGAAGTGGGGGGCAGATTTTGGTTTGAGATCAGCTAATTTTTTTCTAATTTTTTTCTAATGTGCTCAGTTATTAATTTTAAATAAATGAAAATAACAAACTGTATGCTTTGAATAGATCAATACAGTCTGCAAGAAAACGGCACATTATTCGTTTCCTACAATACGAGGTATATGTACAAAAAAACAGTAAAATAGGGCTTGATAATTATTTCAGAACCCCCCTCCCCCTCCCTAGAAAAAAAGGAAAAAAGAAACAGAAATCAAATATAT